GTCGTGCTCACTTCAACGATCATATTTCCCTTTCATATATGGAATAACAAATTTCGTTTTGTAAATGGTTTCTTTTGTTCTTTAACCCTAGTGATCTTGTATTTCGTTTCAAACGTTTGCCATAGTATAAACGTTTTAATGTGATCTCCATCTTTATCATTCGTTTTCCTACTAATTTATTTATCAAAAGTTAAATATAGGAAAACAGAAATTAAAAAAATTTGAACATAAAAGTAGAAAAATTGATAAATTATAACAATAAATTTCATCATTTTAAAATATTTAATTTTAATTTATTGAAAGACTTATAATTTGTAGTACTATTTTTACAAAAGGCTGAACAATATCTAGCCAGTGCATGAGTACCACACGTAAGTACCAATATTTTATTAACTGGGTCCAAATTGTTTTAGACCAAAAGACTTTAATTAGCCTTAACAACTGTGACTGGACATGTCGCATTTGTCACCACATGATTGCTCACACTACCCAGCAAAATCCTACAAAACAAAAGGAAAACATATTAATTAATTAGAGAAAGCCGTTACTCATTATGGTCCGGTTAACCAAATCAAAGAGCCGTTACAAAAGATATTCTACAGTCTATATGATATATATATATCGAATCTAAAAAACCAAATCATTTCAATGAAACACCAAACATGAACAAAAATCGAATTATGATTAAATTACCTTTTGAGAGGACCCAAACCTCGACTCCCAAGAACAATGGAATCGAGTTTTAGATTTTCGACCGCATCGCAAAGTTTCTCCCTTGGATCTCCCCAATACACCTTTGCAACTACCTTCACCTTTAATTTTTGTAAAGTTCAAAAAAATTAAGAACCATTAATTCTTCAATACTAAAAATAATAATATAGCGAAACAATAGTTGTAAGATTGCGAGTGTCAATTACCTTTTTAGCCCTAGAGAGGGTATCAAGAACATCAAGAACCTCAGGATCATAAGCAAGTCCATACTGTTTAGAGAAATTAACCTCTCTAAATTCCTCCAAAGGAACCAACGCTGCAAATAATTCATTACCAAAAATTCAAGTTATGGAAAACACAACTAAGAATTTTTTTTATTTTAATGGAGAAAAAATAGTAATTTACGTACGTGAGCCGGTTTCCTCGAAGAGGATTTTGCGGGTGTGATCGGCGTTTTGGGGTTGAACATGAATCAAGATGACGGTGTCGCCGTCGTCGAGGAGGTTCTCAGCCGTCCACCGGAGAGCCGATTTGCTCGTTGGAGAATAGTCCATTCCCACTCCCACCGTACGTGCCTTTCCCATA